AGGGTGACAATGTAGTAACAGAAAGAATGCCACAGGTACATCTCTCCTGCTCCTGGGATAACTTACCTTATTTCCAAATCTGCCACTTGAATCTAGTGTGATAAAATATTCTTATTCCAGAGTGTTCACGCCAACCACACAGCATCACTACCTTCCTTTGGACAAACAAATGGTGAAATATTTGTCAGAATTTGTATGCAACGTGCCTTTTTAGCAATAGCAAGCAAATTAATTATTGCTTAACATAAAACCTCAATTTTTCTTACATATACTTGTATTTTTCCAATAGTGACAATCATTTGGAGATGCTTCTGTATTTTCTAGCCAAGAAAACGGTCATGAGTTTTATCTATTCCCTCGTTTTTGTGAATTCGATTAAGATTATTAACAGAATATATGTCTGAGCACACATTCAAACTGTGTGAGCATCAGGCACTGGCAGGCCCGAGATTTCCAACTTGTTAGAAATCAGTATTCAGGGCAGGAACATTCTAAGCTTCTGCAAGAGACACAGACAGAAAATAATGCTTAGTTTATGCCACTTAGACATAAAAGAGATCACATCATGCACTGATTACATTGCTGTTTTCAGAATTCAGACAGCCTGTTTTTCTGCTTGTAATTTTATTCAGAAAGGTTAAAACAATATTAATACTTTGTACTTCGGACTTCAGACCTATGTTTATCCTGAATCTAAGCAAACAGCTCAATCTGTATTGTCAACAAATATTCACTGTCCAATATCCTCAAACTGAAATTTGAGAAAAACAGAATTTTTTCAGTTTATTTGTTGACAGTTTCCCTCCTTCATGAACATAGTGAAAAAGGTATTTTCTGTTCACCCTTTGCCCCTACCATTCAACACACCAAACATATAAGAAGTATAATTGTAGTTTCTAATAAGTCTTCCCTGAACAACTATTTATTCTAACTGATACTCTGCTGATAGAATTGTAAAGACCAGTGATTTCTGACTTTAAATAAAACTGAACATCAATTGACCAAGCATTTTCAAAGATTGGTAAATAGGAGAATTTGGTGTAGTTTTAAAGCTACTTTCAGTTGGCTTACTATCTAATGAGCAAACAAATTAGTGTCAAGGATATATGCAAGATATGGTTACAAGGGAGTGAACAAGTTATTTGTTGTCAAGGAAGCAAGGCACAAATCCAATGGTCAGTGCAGCCCTCACAATGTTGGCACAGATCTTTAGAGATGTGGTTTTGCTGCCTCTTACCACATTGGATTATGAGAGATACTGTATCATTCCTCAGATCCAACTACCTCCATATAAGGCAATTTCCTGCATCACCAAAGGAATATTTCTGTATTCTATTTCTTTTTTTTTTTAAGATTCTATTTATTTATTTATGACAGACACAGAGAGAGAGAGAGAGGCAGAGACACAGGCAGAGGGAGAAGCAGGCTCCATGCAGGGAGCCTGATGTGGGACTGGATCCCGGGTCTCCAGGATCACACCCTGGGCTGAAGGTGGCACTAAACCGCTGGGCCACCGGGGCTGCCCTCTATTTCTTTCTGTACCATTGGATTGGAACACCTGGACATAGCCAATACTGTGCCAGTGACCTACAACTTGTCCATTTCATATACTATCCTCTCCAACTATAAGATTTTGTGATCAGGACACCCAGTCTGTGCTCACTTCAGAAAATTTTAAAAGGATTTTGTGATCAGGACACCCAGTCCGTCTGTGCTTACTTCAGAAAAAAAATTTTTTTTTTTTTTACTTCAGAAAAATTTAAAAGGAAAGTGTAATCTCACAATGAGGTATGGAGGAAAGTATATGGAATACAAATCAGAAAACAGCTCTGCTTCTTGTTAACTATGTATTTTGGACAAGTTAATTAGCCTGTCAGAACATCAGGTTTTTCTACAATGGGAATAATCAGAAAGCCCACTCTATATTTCTCATTGGGTTTCTGGGAAGGATATATATCCTCATTAGCATAAATGCAGCACTCTGTAAATTCCAAAATGTTTTATTTATGCTAGGTTTGGTATTACTGCCTCAATGAGAGTAAATAAACTAGTTATAGTTCTTCTAATGTGAGATTAGAAAGGGAATTTAACAAGAGTCTCAGATTTGGCAGACATTCCTAGTAGCCCTCACAATATCCACCCTTACCCCCATCCTCACCTTTTAAAAATTAATGGACTTGATTTAAAGTTCATAGAAAACTTGAGCAGAAAGTACTGAAGTTCCCATCTACTTCTCACCCCCAAGGTTCTCTTTATTATTAACATCTTGAACTGATGTGTTATATTTGATACAATTGATGAACCAATATTAATATATTAAGTGAAGTCCATAGTTTACATTAGAGTTCACTCTTTGTGTTGGATAGTTGTTTTTTTTTTTTTTTGGTTTGCTGAATGCATGATTTAATGTTATCCACAATTACAGTATTATACAGAATAGTTACAGTGCCCTAAAATTTTGAATTCCACATAGTCATTCCTCCCTTGCCCAAAACCATAACAACCACTCATCCTTTTACAGTGTCTATAATCTTGATTTTCCCAAATTGTCATGTACTTGAAATCATACAGTATGTCATAGCCTCTTCAAAAGGGGTTCTTCCACTTACAAATTTGTATTGAAGGTGCCTCCATGTCATTTCATGGCTTGATAGCTATTTCTTTTAATCATTGAGTAATACTCATTTGCATGGATATACCATTTCATTTATTCATTCACCTGTTGAAGAACATCTGGGCTGCTTCCAAATTTGGGCTATTATGAATCAAGTTACAGTAAACATTCATGTTTGAAATTTTATGAAGTATAAGTTTTCAATTTACTCAAGTAAATACCTAGGAATACGATTACTTGATTATTTAGTAAGACTAAAGAACTGCCAAACTCTCTTCTAAAGTGCCTGTGTAAATTTGGATTCATCTAGCAATAAATTAGAATTCCTGTTGTTCCACAAACTTGTCAGAATTTGGTGTCAGTGTTTTGAATTTTAGCCATTGTAATAGGTATGTAATGGAATCTCATTGTTATTTTAATGTGTACTTCTCTAATAACAATGGTATTGGCATATTTTTGTATGCTTATTTACCAGGTATTTATCTTCTTTAGTGATTCATCAATTCAGATCCTTGTCTGTTTTTTGTGTTCCTAAATCTTTTTTAAAAATTTTATTTTATTTTTACATTTAAATTCAGTTTGCCAACATATAATACCCAGTGCTCATCATATTACATGGCCGCCTTAATACCCATCACCCAGTTACCCTATCCCTTACCCCTTCCCCTGTTGTTCTTTATCTTAATGTTGATTTTTAAAAGATTTTATTTATCTGAAACAGCACAAGCTGGGGGAGTGGCAGGAAGAGGGAGAAGGAGAAACAGGCTCCCCGCTGAGCAGGGGAGCTAGATCCCAGGACTCTGGCAAAGGCAGACACTTGACCAACTGAACCACCGGGGTGCCCCTTAATGTTGAATTTTAAGTTATCTATAAGTCTGGATCTGAGTCATTTATTAGATATATGATAGATATTTTAGATAAAGATAACAGATAAAAATAGATATTTTTTCTAGTCTGTGTCTTGACTCTGTTCTTTTAACAGCATCTTTCACAATGAAGTGTTTGTTCATTTGTTTTTTAATTTTAATGGTCTAATGTACCATTTTTTTCCATAGGTCATACTTTTGCATTGCATCTAAAAACTCGTTGCCAAATCCAAAGTCACCTAGATTTTTTTCCTATGTTATCTTCTAGAAGTTTTATAACTTGCATTTTACATATAAGGCTATGATCCATTTTGTATTAATTTTTATGAAAGGTGTAAGGTCAATATTTAGATGCATTTTTTTCATGTGCACACAGTTTTCTCAGCACCATTTGCTGAGAGAACTATCCTTTTCCCATTGAGTTGTCTTTGCTCTTTTGTCAAAGGTAAGTTGACTGTATTTGCATGAAACTATTTTGGAGCTCTCTATTCCTATCTATAGAATTATTTGTCTCCTCTATCACTAATAGCACAGTGGCATGATAACTACTACATTTTAAGACTGGAAGCCTGGAGGGGAGGAGTTATAATGGAGGAGGAGTGGAGGACCTTCTGCTTGCCTTGTTCCATGAACACAGCTAGATAATTATTAAATCATTCTCAACATCCAGGAAATCATTCTGAGGACTGAGAGAACAAACTAGAAGGAGAAAAGAAGCCACATTGTGGAAGGTAGGAGATGCAGTGACGTGATTTGGGGGAGAAAATCTCAAGTGCTGCAGAGGGTAGGGAACCCTGATCACTGAGAGAGGAGAGAAGGAGATAAAACAGTATACAGGGAAAAGAAAGACAAAACATTTCCCCCACAACCATTGACTAGGAAAACTGGAGAAGTTGATTATCTCAAGTTTTTATAAGCAGCAGAGCTGAAAGTCTGAAGCTTTAAAAGTCTGTACCATCACCAGGGTGTAGCAGTGCTCATATGGGGAAGGAAAGCAGAGGCTTGAGAGCAGACAGCATGGTCTGAGGATCCCCGGGGTCACACTAGAAGAGACAGTTCCACTTCTTGGAGTGCATTTGGGTGAGGTGTCAATGCCTCTCAAGGGACAAAAGAGCCGGAAGCATGCCATTGAATTGCCCCATTCATTAGCATAAGAGCTGAGATGCCTGCTAAGGGCAGCTAATCTAGATACCAGCTTTTTGCTACACTTTACCATAAACTCTGAGCCCCTATGTGGTTGTGCAGCTGCTTTTCTGGGACAATCTTGTACCAGCCACAGTGCAGTGAGACTCTCTCCCAGAAGATCAGCGTGACTTCACACCATGCTAGGTCCCCAAAATTTGGAGTTTTGAAACCCAGCCATGCACCGGAGATAAAATAGGAGCACTGCGCCACCATCTGGTAGGTAGGCAACACAGACACAGACAGGGTGAAGGAAAGAACGACAGAAGCCTGGGATTGTTCACCCTTCTGTGAAGACTTCCTGAAGAACAATGAGCACAAAGTCCACCCTCAAGAGAAGAGAGTGGGCCGGGGTCATTTTCACCCCTTCCAGCAGCACAGACGGACGTCAGTGAGCACACAGTGCACAGTGGAGGCCTTGAGCCACTTACACCAAGCCCCTCCCTCTACACTCCACAGGCCTTTTTAAACTGATAAGAACATATACTACACTTGATCTTAGCCAAAAGGCCGAGAAGCGATATCACAGGCCTTTTTAAATAGGGCAAGTGTGATTGAGAGCCAGAATAGCAGCAGGCCTCTCCCCCAGAAAACCAGCACAATCTCTCACCCATGCACTCATCATAGACTGCTACAAAGCTTCAGCTCTAGTGGAAATAGAACCAGGCACAGGCTTTTCTAGTGCACAAATGACAGAAACTTAGACAAGATGCCAAGATGGAGGAATTCATCCCCAAAGAGAAAACAAGAAGAGATCATAACCAGGGAGCTAATCAAAATAGATATAAGCACTATGCCTGAAATATAATTTTTGTTTTTTTCTGCACCAGAATTTAAAACAACAATCATAAGGATACTAGCTGGGATTGAGAAGAACATAGAAGAAACCAGAAAGACCCCTACCACAGAGATAAAAGAGTTAAAAATTAGTCCTGCCAAAATAAAAGATGCTATAACTGAGATGCAAAACCAACTGGATGCAATGACTATAAAGATGAAAGAAGCAGGAAATGAATAAGTGATATGAAGTTAAAATTCTGGAAAATAATGAAGCTTGAAAAAAGAGGAAAGGAAAAAATATTAAATCACAAATAAAGACTTAAAGGAACTCAGTGACTCCATAAAGCATAATATTTGTATCATAGGAGTCCTGGAAGAAAAAAAAGAGGGGAAAGGAGGCAGAAGGTTTATTTGAGCAAATTATCACTGAAAACTTGGGGAAAGAAAGAGGCACCCAAATCCAGGAGGCACATGGATCTCTCACCAAAATCAACAAATGCTGGCCAGTACCAAAACATATCATAGTAAAATTTAAAAAATACAAACATAAGGAGTTTACCCAAAAACAGTAAAGGAAATCCCTGACCTACAAAGGAAGACAAATCAGGTTAGCAGCAGATCTCTCCACAGGAATCTCCACAGGCCAGAAGAAAATGTCCTGATATATTTGACATAATAAATGGGAAAAATATGCAGCCAAGAATCCTTTATCCAGTGAGTCTTTCCAAATAGAAAGAGAGATAAAGAGTTTCTCAGACAAACAAAAACTAAAGGAGATTATAACCACTAAACCAGCCCTCCAAGAGCTATTAAAGGAGACTTTTTGAGTAGGAAAGAAAGACCAAAAGCAGCAAAGATTAGAAAGGAACAGAGAAAAACTCCAGAAACAATGACTTTATAGGTAATACAATGGCACTAAATTCATATCTATCAATAATTACTCTGAATGTAAGTGAACTAAATGCTCCAATCAAAAGACATAGAATATCAGAATGGATTAAAAAAACAAGACCCATCTATATGCTGCCCACAAGAGACTCATTTTAGACCCAAAGACACTTCGAGATCAAAGATGAGAGGATGGAGAACCATCTATCACGCTTGTGGATGTAAAGAGAAAGCCAGAGTAGCTATACTTATATCAGACAAACAAGATTTTAAACCAAAGACTGTAACAAGAGATGAAGAAGGGCACTATATTGTAAAAAAAAGGGGGAGGGGAGGGGTTATATTCAACTATCCAACAAGTTATTACAACTAACAATTGTAAATATTTATGCTCCCAACCTGGGAACACTCCAATATATAACTCATTTAATAATAAACATAAAAAAACCTCATGGATAGTAATACAATAATAGTAGAGGATATTAACAAACCACTTACAGTAATAGATCATCTAAGCAGAAAATCATGAAAAAAAAAACACAATGGCTTTGAACAGGGCAAGATGGACTTAACAGATATATTCAGAACATTTCATCCTAAAGCAGCAGAATATACATTCTTTTTGAGTGCATATGGAACATTGTCCAGACTAAATCACACACTGGTTCACAAATCGGGCTTCAACAAATACAAAAAGACTGAGATCATGCCATGCATATTCTCAAGCCACAACGCTATGAAACTTGAAGTCAACCACAAGAAAAAAATTTGGAAAGACTACAAATACATGGAGGTTAAAGAATATCCTACCAAAGAATGAGTCTGTTAATTGGAAAATTAAAGAAGAAATTTGCAAATACACAGAAGCAAATGAAAACAAGACAGCCCAGTACCTTTGGGATGCAGCAAAGGCGGTCCTAAGAGGTAAGTATATAGCAACACAGGCCTACTTCAAGAAGCAAGAAAAGTCTCAAATACACAACCTAATTTTGCATCCAGAGGAGCTAGAAAAGGAATAGCAAATAAAGCCTGAGTCCAGCAGAAGAAGGGAAATAATAAAGATTAGAACAGAAAAAAAAAATGACATAGAAATGAGAAAAAAACAGTAGAGCAGATTGAAATGAAAGTAAAAGCTGGTTCGTTGAAAGAATTAATACAATTGAATAAACCCCTGGCCAGCTTTATCAAAAAGACAAAGGACTCAAATAAATAAAACCATGAATGAAAGAGAAGAGATCACAACCAATACCACAGAAATAAAATTATAAGAGAATATTATGAAAATATATGCCAGCAAACTGGGCAATCTGGAAGAAATGAATAAATTCCTAAAAACATACAAAATATTGAAACTGGAAGAAATAGATAATTTGAACAGACCCATAACCAGCAAAAAATATTGAGTCAGTAATAAAAAAACCCCTAACAAACAACAGGCCTGGGCCAGATGGCTCTCCAGGGGAATCCTATGGGATATTTAAAGAAGAATTAACACCTCTTCTTCTCAAACTGTTCCAAAAAATAGAAAGGAAGGAAAACTTCCAAACTCATTCTATGAAGCCAGCATTACCTTGATTCCAAAAGGAGACAAAGACCCCACTAAAAAGGAGAATTACAGACCAATATTACTGATAAACATGGATGCAAAAATTCTCAACAAAATGCTAGCAGATTGAATCCAACAGTATTTTAAAAGAATTATTCACCATAATCAAGTGGGATTTATTCCTGGGTTCCAAGAGTGGTTGAGTGTTCACAAATCAATCAACATGATATACCACATTTATAAGAAAATGGATAAAACTCATATGACCCTGTCAATACAAGCAAAAATAATTTTACAAAATACAGCTTCCATTCTTGATAAAAACCCTCAACAAAGTAGGGATAGAGGGAACATACCTCATCATTAATGAAAACTCACAGCTAATATCATCCTCAATGGGGAAAAACTGAAGATTTTTCCTCTATAGTCAAGAACAAGATAGGGATAGTACTGGAAATGCTAGCCTCAGCAATCAGACAACACAAAGAAGAAAAAGGCATCCCAATGGGCAACAAAGAGGTAAAAGTTTTACTATTTGTAGATGGCAGGATACTGTAATGTAGAAAACACAAAAGACTCTGCCAAAACATTGCTAGAACTTATAAATGAACTCAGCAAAGTCACAGGATACCAAATCAACATACAGAAATCTGTTGCATTTCTGTACACTAATAATGAAGCAGCAGAAAGAAATCAAACACTCGAACCCTTTTACAATGGCACCAAAAAAAACATAAGATACCAAGGAATAAATCTAATCAAGAAGTAAAAGATCTATACTCTGAAAATTATAGAACGTTGATGAAATAAATTGAAGAGGACACAAAGAAATTGAAAAACATCCCATTGAAATAACAAATACTGTTAAAATGTCTATACTACCCAAAGCAATCTACACTTAATGCAATCCCTATCAAAAAACCATCAGCATTTTTCACAGAGCTAAAACAAACAATCCTACGATTTGTATGGAAATGCAAAAACTCCAAATAGCCAAAGCAATCCTGGAAAAGAAAAATAGAACTGGAAGCATCATAATTCCAGACTTCAAACTGTATTAAAAAGCTTTAGTCATCAAGAGCGTATGGTACTGGCACAAAATAGACACAGCATTGAGTGTTACTCTGTATGTTGGCAAATTGAACACCAATAAAAAATAAATTTATTATTAAAAAAAGAAAATTAAAAAAGAAGACAAAATAGACACATAGATCAATGGGACAAAATAAAAAACCCAGAAATGGACCCATAACTATATGGTCAACTAATCTTGGACAAAGCAGAAAAGAGTATCCAAAGGAGAAAAAAAAAGAGTCTCTTCAACAAATTTTGTGGGAAATACTGGACAGCAACATGCAGAAAAATGAAAATGGGCCATTTTCTTACCCATACACAAAGATAAATTCAAAATGAATTAAAGACCTAAAAAGTGAGATAGGAAACCATCAAAATCCTAGAGGAGAACACAGGCAGCAACCTCTTTGACCTGGGCCATAGCAACCTCTTACTGTACATGTCTCTGGAGGCAATGGAAATAAAAACCAAAAATGAACTATTAGGATTTCATCAAGATAAAAAACATCTGCATAGCAAAGGAAACAATCAACAAAACTAAACAGCAGCCTACGGGATGGGAGAAAATGTTTGCAAATGATATATCTGATAAAGGGTTAGCATCCAAAATCTAAAAAGAACTTGCCAAACTCAACACTCAAAAAACAAATAATCCAGTTAAGAAATGAGCAGAAGACGTGAATAGATCATTGTTTTCCAGAGAAGATATCCAGATGACCTACAGACACAAGGAAAGATGCTCAACATCACTCACCACCAGGGAAATAGAAAGAAAAAACACAATGATACATCATACCAGTCAGAATGGCTAAAATTAACACAGGAAACAACAGATTTTGGCAAGGGCACGGAGAAAGGGGAACTCTCTTATACTGTTGGTGGGAATGCAAACTGGTGCAGCCACTGTGGAAAACAGTATGGAGGTTCCTCATAGCAGTATTGAGGTTCCTCAAAAAGTTAAAAATAAAACTACCCTTCTATTTCTACTTTTTGAAAGTTTATATCATAAATGGATGTTGGATTATCTTTAATGTTTATTGTATGCATTAATATGATCATAGGATTTTTTTCTTTTAGCCCGGCCAATACAATGGAGTAGAGTAATTGATCTCTGAATGTAGAACTAGACTTGCATGTCTAGAAGAAATCCTAATTGGTTATGCTGTATAAATCTTTTTATGCATTGTTGGATTTAATTTGCTAATATTTTGTTGGGGAATATTCATTTTTGTTT